TAGGTTTCTTAATTACCGGGAAAGACATGCGTTTTATCGACAAAGATCGGGCAGATGTGATTTTATTTCTTATTTTCGCTTTGGTTTTTATTCATTTGTGAGTTTATGTTAAATTAAGGTGTTTTGAGTTTATGACATAATATAGAATAAATTGTACTGTCTAATGCTGAAATGTATAGTTTTTGTACTATATAATTTCATATAATCTTGATGAGCATAAATTGAATTAAGTCTTTATAAACCATTTTAGCGTATTTTTAGAACTTCATTTTAAAAAGAGAGTCAGCATGCATTCAAGGCACGACTAAAATATCCAATAAGCTAGCGAGGCTATTCGAAAGGAACTGCGAAAACAGTTCAGGGGTTTGACAAACGCAGCGAACATAGGGTTGAACCATGTTGAACCCTCTAGTTTTTTATATAACTAGCTTAAAGTAGCACCAGAGTCACAATTCCTGCTCTGCAGTAGTAATCTTAACTACTAGTTAAATGATAAATTATCGTTTTCTTTTACTATTTAATGGACTTAATGAAGTCTTTTTTAAATCGTTTGATTATTTTTTTTTTCAAATTTTAATTCTATAAAATGCTTTCATGGTTTTTCCTTATCAGTATTTTTAAGTGAAGTATTTTGAGAGTTCATAAAGCTAGATTATTTGGAGATTTACAACATGGTATTTTTCTACCTCAAGAAAAAGAAATTCTGAAGAGTATCATAAAATTCGTTTGCAAAAGATATAAAAGTACAATATATCCTCAAAAATTTCTGAATTATTTAATTTACTACTTTCTGCATAAAAAAAATATGGTTCCAATTGCAATAGTCTCCCTTACACTAAATTATTATATAATTGTGTTTCAATGAGTTTATTTGATCTGTTATTCATGAAAATTCAGTTTTTTTACGAAAATTCTCGATGGCTATAATCGTTACTTACTCATTACCACATTTTTTTCTCTTCCCACACAAACAGAGAAAAATAAAATAATAGATATGTTATCTGGAATGTTACATCTTTATCTTATACTAGGAGGCTTCGCCCCCTGCTCGCTGACGCTCGCCAACCCCCGAGAATTGCTACGCAATCCTATGTGGTCCACGCCGTGAACCATGGCTCGCTGCGCTCGCTCGCCAATGAACACAATGTTCTAGCACAAAGACATAATATATTATCATCAAAGACATAGTATTTTATCATCAAAGACATAGTATTGTACTTATGTAGAAGAATTCTACCAATGTTCTTATTGGCTTTTAAAAAAGTATATTAGCTATTTAGATTGTACATGGTGAAAAAATCAAAACATTAGCTAAATAAGAAACATATTAGCAAAATAAATTATCAAATATTGCTTCACTAATATTTTGCATTTTAAAGCGTGAAAATTCAATGCATAAATAAACGCGAAATATAAAAAAAATTCAATGCATTCAATACAAACACTTAAACGTTTTTTAGACGTTTAGGTAGCTCTCAGTAGAAAAATATCAATTCAACAGCGGCCTTTTAAAGCATTCTCACTTCAATTAATTAATTAATTCCTAATTGAGTTTAAATTAAATATTGTCATGTTTTTAGTGCATGAATCTGAATTGAACAACCTGATAATGCTCACTCTGGTTATTGTTATCTGGTTGCTCACTACGTGCTCTTGCGCGCCGAATCTAATAAATTAAAAATGAAAACTGTTGCCAGCGCGAGAAAAGAAATATCATCGGTTTTATTGATACATACATACGTACGTATTAGCGTTTTATATAATATAGATACTATTGATAATGGGATGCTTGCAAGTGACGTAGCGCGGGTATCTGGATCCTAATTGTCTGTTGAAGAGTGGCATTTCTTTACGTTTTCAACAGTTCTTTCCATTCTATTTCGAGTAAGCCTAACCCGTCAATTTTCAATTCTGATAAGTGACATTCTATTTTCTTTCACTAAGATTCTTTAACAAAGATTTCAATTCTTTCACTATATATTTCTTACTTAACACAAAGACTGGCTCGAAGCCATGTACAGCATAAACAAAGTAACAAAGTGCACGGAAGTTGTCAGGTACACAAAAATATATCACGGTTTCAATAAAATATTAAATCTATGTAATGTAAAAGGCGTAGAAGAGAAATAATTACATTTTAGCAAATTCGATTTGCGATCTGGTGGTGTATTTAATTAACTTTCTGACTTATGTGGAGAGACTTGACTTTAAAACACTATCTTGTTTATAAATACCATCTTGTTTATAAACGATCAGCTAACACTGAGGTCATAGGTCAGGTGTCTGGGTATCAGTGATCATCTTCTGATCGAGTTTCAAGCACCCAATTAACAAATAAATGCACTAGTTCAATTTGTACTAATGTTATTTTTTTTATAAATTGAAATGTTAAGGACCAGTGTGCCTACCGGTCACGAATATTTTCGTGACCTTTATTCCAAATTCGAGGATTTTCAAGAACTTTTACGATGCAATTTCTCAAACGAATCTCATATCGAGGGATAGGAATTATACTCTAAGATTAAGTGATAATTAACAGAAGAAAGTAGTAAATAACAACTCCACAAAAAGGTGTTTTTGTTGGAGACGGTAGATACTATGAGAACAGCTTGTCGTCATTTACAGCAACGTGTTAAAGTATCAAAAAGAAGATTCTATTAGCTTTCTGACTAGTTAATTTTGATAATTAAACTTCTCAGCAAGTTAAATTTTTTTAATTATCATTATTGTTTTTCATTTTTTGTGTATGTGTAAATTGAATGCAATAAAAAAAATCACCGGTGACAAATAAACAACCGACTGATGCAGTAATGCCGAAGCTTGGCTATTGTTTGGTACTCAGCTAACGTACAAGTAAATATTATTATTATTAATAGTTATTGAAAATAATAATAATGAAATAATAATAAAACTGTGACAAAATACCACTACTACTACTATTTATAATAATAACAATAAAACAAAAATAGATCTTGCTCTTCAGTTTTGAAAATAAAATTGTTACACTAATGTAATTCGCCTCTTGTAACTTAAAATATGTTTGTAAAAAAACTATTGAGATACCAAGTAATTTTTTTTTCATTTCACGCTATTCAATCATTACTAATAAATATGATTGCTGTGGTTAGTTCCTCTTATAACTAAATATTTTAAATTTAATCATATTCCCATCTTTTACTGCACTTATACAATTACTTGATCTTACCTAAACCGGATGTGTTGATTTCATATCTGAAATTAGTTTTGTTAGGAAAGCTACAGATCTTTTTTAAAACCATATTTTTATTTAGTTTATTTTTTGTCTGAATGTACAAGTTTATAAAGAACGTATAGATTTTTATACATGTAGATACACTTGTCTTCTCCTTAGAAAATAACACTTAAGACGAAAAACACATGATATTAACTTATCGCATCATGAACTGAAATGTATTATTGCTTTCTTCCCACCACACCTTACGTAGCAGATAAGTGGTTACGCCTTGTTTTCACTTGTTTAATATATTTTTAACCAGGTATAACATATTCTTAACAATGATATAAAAATTCTTGGTTAAGAATATGTTATTAAATTGCATAAAAACAGTTACTTGTAAAGAGAAACTGATTGAAGATTTGATATCAGATCAGTTTAAAAATTGCATGCAATAGAAAAAATTGCATTTCAGTAATATTGTTTCAATGCAAAACTTTTTTAATGTTCCAAGTGACAAAGCATATAGCTGTGTCAACCAACCGCAGAATATTGACAATTCTCACAATGTTTTTAAAAATTCTAACAAATGAAAAGTCAATTTGAATTAAAAAAAGTAGAATTCTGAAATACAGGACTGCCGAGCTTCAACGCTTTGTGAGAAATTTTCTTCTCGTGGTAGCAAAGTTTATGTTTTGATCTTTATTTATTAAATTTGGTGAGTTATCTTCCGCACCACTACATGTGGGTGGTTCAAAAGTTCTTATGAAAAGCTGCTTCTTTTCCAGTTCATTTGAGGCGAGGCTTTTAAAATGGTGACAAAATAACCCAAAATCTTAAAGCTTTAGTTTTTGATTGTCTATTACGCTAGAAAATATTTTGCAAAAGGCGTAGCAATTGGCAGCCCTAGAAATATGAGGAAAGTGCACATAAATTAGTTTTGGCTAATCGAATTAAGTATTTTATAGTGACGTCAGATCAGTCATTTATAAATAGGCATTACTTTTTTAACTGTTAACTGCCTTAAGACAAGCAATGTTTACAGTCCGTAGGCAGTTTATTTCATATCTTTCAGCTACTATGGCTGCTAGGTAAGTTATGTGCCAAGTCACATAACGCGAAACATACTATATAAAATTATTAAGAACAGTGCATAAGCATTTGAAATTAAAAAAGAAAAGGGTTCTTGTGTAAAATAGTTGAAGAATTTTTGTCAAAATCAAAGCAAATAATGCCAACCAACAAGAATTTTCGCTAATACTACAATAACTATAATAATTAGAATAATAACTGTAAACCAAATACATGGTTATTCTTTAAAGGTTATTCATTGAAATAGCTATAGTATGTTATAATATAATAAATTTAAAGTATTTTGTGTTTAGTTATTTTTGAAAATAAAATGTACGCTAATTGTAAACCGTACGTTTTAAATCATTAACTTCAATAATTGTTTTTTTAAATTTTTTTTTTGTTTTTATTCCCATTAAATATGCATTGTTTACAATCAGAAACGATTGGGCGTCAATTTGGCATATTGGCTTACATTTTAGTTTACATCATTTTATAACTGAAACTGTAACTAAAATACAAATATATTCACTGTTAAATAATGAATTACCAGTTATACAATTTTAAATGTTAAATTCATATTAATAATTGCCTATTTAGACATTAACAGGCCAAGTAAAATGCATCCATCATGTATTTTGTATGGTTCATTTGGTTTTCTCAATTTGTATTTGTAGTTGATTTAGTAAAGTCTTTGAATTGTGAATTTAATTTTATATTTTTACATTAACATGGATAGGAGGTGAATATTTATTTTATTCAAGCACTTTTTGTAGTAATAATAGCTGTTGAATCGAAAATTTCCGACAGTTAACCATGTTTAAAAGCTTAAAAGGAATCCATTATTAATATGATCTGTTGAGACATTGTTTTGTTTGTTGAAGTTCTTGTATGAAAAATTTGATAATTAGCCATGTTTCAAAGCTTAAAAGGAATCCATAATTAATATGATCTGTTGAGACATTGTTTTGTTTGTTGAAGTTCTTGTATGAAAAATTCCACATTTATGATAGTCTATTTACACACTAACTGGACAAGGTGAAATCCAACCATTAAACACTTGATCTAATTCAAGAGCTGTGGCTATAGTTAGGTGGTCACCATAAGGTCTACTGATGGCCTGTATTCCTATAGGAAGGCCATTGCACAAACCAGCTGGTATTTGAGTTGATGGAAATCCTAAAATGCTAAATATTGACGTATATCCAATGTTTTTATATTTGGGTATAGTCATTAAATAATGGGGTGGTGTTTCACGGTGAGTTGGCATTAGAAAGATGGAGTCTCCTTGGAGAATGTCTTCGAATTTACTTTTAAGATCGTCGTATTTCTTAAGGCATTTGAAGTAGAAGTCATCTTTGTCTCGTCTATCTACCATGGCGAAATAAATAGCAGGTAAAGTGTGTGGTGAGCAGTGGAATACATTCTTAATCGCTTCCCAATATAAGTTTATGTGGCCATAAATGCCGGCTATCAAAGACTTGAATGATGGTGATCCAGCTTCTAGTAATTTACATTCCCACATTTGCATGGCGTATTTCATTTCACTTAAGTTAACTTTAACTGCTCTGACTCCGTACTGTTCTTCAAAGTGTTTAACAGCCTAAAAAATAAAATAAAAATATAATTGATTGAAGATAATGAATAGTTTTTAAAATATTGATTAGCATGACAAAAATTAAGTTGAATGAAGAAAATATTTTGCAATTTAAAGTGCTTGAAACCCTAATAAAAGATTTAAAAATAAAATGAAAGTAGATGCAAGTAATATATTTTCTTCAAAATATTTGACAGCTGAGAAACAAAAAAAAAAACAAAAATTTAATTGAATGAAGAAAATATATTGTTTAATTAAAATGTTTGTCATCTAATAATACACCATAAAATTTATTTGTATAAAGTTAATATATTATTCGACAAAATGTTTATCAACCTAGAAATAAAATCTAAACTTAATTGAATGAAGAAAATATAGTGCTATTCAAAATGTTTGGCAGCCTAGAAATAAAAACAAAAATCTAATTAAATGAGGAAAATATAATGTTATTCAAAATGTTAGGCAGCATAGAAAGAAAACAAAAACTTAATTGTATTAAGAAAATATAATGTTATTCAAAACGTTTAGCAGCCTAGAAAGAAAACAAACGCTTAGTTAAATGAAGAATACTTTGTTACTCAAAACTATTGAGGCCTAAAAGCAAAACTTAATCTAAAATTTATCTAGCTATTAACAATACAAAAAAATTGTTCAAATGTTTTTCGAAAACATAATTTTAAGGTGTTAAAATTTGAAAGAGTTATAAATTTTAAAATTGTACTGCTGGAAAAAAAAACGAATAACCTTTGAACTATTTTTTTATTTTATGACCGTCGTTGAACAGTTGACCCAATTTTTGGGTTTACGACTACTAATGTTCAACTCCGCAGCCTTGTAATTTTGTACCCAATTTAGAAAACAAGGGAACTCCTGGATCAATTATTGGGAGAAATTTGCCTTAATGGAAGATTTTTTGATAGAACTACGGATGGAGGATATTTCACGTCAGCACTGTGTTTGGTACAAGCCGGTTGCTGATTCATATCGACCATCCATCAGTGGGATTCGAACCTGGTTCACCTCATCGGAAGGTGAACGCTCTATCCCCTGAGCCATCACGGCCCCCTTTGAACTATTGATCAGATTTTCATTCCTTAAAGTGTTATGGCAATTATCTGAAATAAATTTCTTAAATTATATATAACAGCAAACTGTAACTAAGGCGGAATATGCTTAAATTGGCTCAAACACGCACTATTTCTGCAGAATCTCAGTTGTTGTTACAAATCTCAGATTGTCCAGCTGGTATGGACAATCCCCATGAATCCAAAAATCTCTAAAAACAGTAATGGATCCCGGAGGACTTTATCTTTGCTAAAACCCAAATAAACTAAAATGTGGGCAGGGGAGGCCATGTAGGCAGAACACAAGTAGCACTCTGGGAAGGTCTTTTGACCCTGCCGAAAAGCCACTTATAAAACGCGTGTAGGCGGTTTGATAGTATCTTGGTCTGAGCTGAAAAGATTCACCCAGACGTCTTGCAAAATTTAGTAGAAATATATTTTTTTTACTGCATTCAATTTAGTGTGCAAAAATAATCCCTAAAAATAAATTTCATAAATATTCCGACAATTAGGAAGGATCTGTAAAAATAAATGAATATTTGGCATACAAAAAATTTTATGTCGCCAATTTCAGGCATTGGTAGAAAAACGTCACTAGAGGATCGTGCAGCTTGAAAGTAATCCATTGCGTAAATCTGCAGTTTTGTACAATGAAACAAATGTGAACCAAAAATTAATAAAATAAAGTGTAGAAGCCGCTTTTTTTAAGTTATTCATTGCGTAAACTTATGCCGTATAGTAAATTTAAATAAAAAATAAGTAAATAAGTAAAAAAGTAGTAGCAAGATTTTCTTTTTCCTGATATAGATCCTTCAAAGGAAAACTATTATTTTCAAACTATATTTCTTATATTTTGTAAGATGAGTTTCATAATTATAAATAAAAAGTTCGTGCCTAGATTTGGAGAAATATGCTAATAGTATATATGCAACATTAAAAGGCTTAATTTTTCGACCGTGACCAAACTATAGTGACAGTATTTCCCTATCCGCTATATTTTAATGGCCTAAAATCGAAAATGCGTCGAAAAAAGTTGTGTTTATACAAAAAAGTAAGTTTTTAATTCTATTTTAGTAAATATAGTGGCACCAATTAATTAGTAGATAGAACTCTTCAGATCATTAAGGTTCACACGATGTAAATAAAAATTCGAGCATTAAAAGAAGTGTTACTTTAGGAGGAATCTTTTATTAGAAGCGAGTACAAAAAATAGAAGAAATTCGTGTAATTTTTATTATTATTACAGTTATGGTTTTTATAGTTTCTTTTAAATAGTGTGGTTCTTTTGAATAAGTGTACAATTCATTCGATGTAATTACAAAGTTTCAGTCATTATTTAAAATTTTTTGCTTTCCAAAAATGGCTAAAATTCGTCGAAAATATTTTTAAGTTTTTAAAATGCTAATTTCATGATCACAAAACTTAAATGAATATTTAAATGTAGGGATGCCAGTTTCATTAATTCCCCCGCTTAGTGCTAAGCAATGCGTATTTTTACGGATTTTCTTAAGTTCGTTACTTTACTTTTAGGAAGGATTGCTTTTTACTTTCGATTAACATGACTACTTAGCCTTTTTGCAAGCTATCATGTCTTCATTATCTTTTTACGCTTATTTGCTTATAAGCAAACTTCATTTTCAAAAACTGACGTTCAGAAATAAATAAGATTTGGTTTCTGATTTGTCAGTGCAAAAGCAAAAAGCAAGTCTTTCATTTATTTATTTATCTAGTTATTTATTTGTTAATTTAGGAAAAAAAGAAGAAGAAGAAAAACAACAACATTCCAACTGTAAATTAAATGTACTGTAACTGTAATTAAAATTAGTTTATTAATACGTGGGAAAAAGTGGAATAAGTCATGTGAAAAAATGGAATAAGATAAGTATTACAAAATAAACATGCAATTTTTTAATTAAATAAAACATTAGAAGTAAAAATAAATGTTTTCTTACTATAAAATAATCCAGATAAAAAAGGTTTAAAAAAAAATTACTAACTTTTTTAATAGACTCTTTGACTTCTGGAATTGCTCCTGTTAGTAGACCAGGTATTTCTTCCATGTAATAAAATTTCACTCTACAAAAATCAATCTGAAAATGCAACATATCGTTAATTAAGTTAATTTTAGTTGCCATGAATTTCTAATTCATACAAATTTAAGTAGATTTGTCTTATTATACATTTAATAATGTTATCATCAAAAAAAGTAACAGAATACAACATTGTAAACTAATTTTTACACAGAGCAATATACAGGGTGTTTATAAATTCCCTGACCCATTTTGATGTTTAATAACTCATAAAATAATAAAGATAGATTAAAATTAATAACATAAATGGTTAGATAGACTCAAAAAGTTTCATGACCCTTGTCAATGAACTTCCGTGTGTGCAGCTTCGTCGCACGGAGAATATCAAGTCGATAGTCAATTTCACGCCAGGCAGCGACAAGCATGTCGGTATCCACAGAGGCTATTGCGGTTGTAATTCTGGCTTTTAGGTCATCAATGTTCGACACGATCCTCCTGTAAATATTGTCCTTTATAAAGGACAATGTTTGGGTTTACGACTATTAATGTTCAACTCCGTAGATTTGTAATTTTGAACCCAATCCAGAAGACAACGCAACTCCTGGATCAAGTATTGGAAGAAATTTGCCTTCTTGGGGGACTTTCGGATGGAACTAACCTGCATTTGCGCTACATGGAGAGGAAGACCACGAGAGCCTCCCACAGTTAACCTGACGGTAAGGGGATTCTAATCCATGATCCGTCTACCACTGAGGATATTTCACGTCAGCACTGTGGCTGGTGCAAGCCGGATGCGGAATTCATATCGACTGGGATTCGAACCCGGTTCACATCATTAGAATCCATATATTGATTGGATTTTACTTACTTTATCATTCCATCGAACATTTTCATGGTTGTCTGCCAAAACTCTAGTCAGTAACGGCAAATCTTCGGCATAACGGCACATTGGCCCTGTGCTGATGAACTGACCGAAACACTCAGTTTCTGGTGGTTCTTGAAATGCTAATTTATTCGAAACAATTCCTATGTAGGTAAAAAAACTATATTATTATGGCTGAATACTAATGTTTTGAAAATAATTTCACTTAAAAAGAAATGGAATAAAAAAAAGGGCAAAAAATAAATGCAATTTTAAAGAATATTTTTCAGAAAAATAAAAATATTTTTTTTGAGGAAAATATTAAACTCTTCCTCTTATTTTTTTTGCACGATTGAGATATCCTAAAAAAAACTGTCTTTTTAAAAAAGGATATTTTAAAAAAATATTTATGTTTTTTTAAAAAACATTTTTAAAGTAATATGAAGAAAAGGTACTTCTTGGTTCATCGAGTACAAGGAAATTCAATAAAATAACCGTCATTCCTCAAAAAATAAAAAATAAAAATAAGTAAATTTATTTGCGTTTAGCTAATTAAGAAGTACCGATGAAAGATTGAAAAGATTTAGATCTAGAAGAAAATTTGTCTCACAATTCTTCCAAAACGAAATTTCACAATGACGAAAAATATTGGTAATAGTTAAGTCTATGGTGAACATAATCTAGTTAAGGTGAAATTTAGCGTATATGTATTATCGATAAGGGAGTGGAATATCGCGAAGTATATTCGATTCAAATTATAATCTCACAAAAAGAATGCTGTGCAAAATATCTCATACTAGGAGGCTCCGCCCCCTGCTCGCTAACGCTCTCCAACAGTTTTAACAGTAACAATCCAACGATTGCACCAAACAAGTACTAGTACTAACCTGGACTTAAAAAAGAATTTGGAAATGTTAACGCAACAGTTTAGACAAAGTTAATAAAAAAAAACGACAACGAAATTCGTCAAAAAATTTACAACTGTTATATGAGAACCGGAGAACATTTGCCGGATATCTAGTATGATCTTACATAGTACGTCCCAATTTGTGTACAAATACGAGAGGAGTTTGCTTTTTCACTAGTTGGGGCATACTGTGAAAGATCATGCTTGTGTCATAGTAGATATCAGACGAATGTTCTTCGCTTCTAATATTCTTTGTTATTGCGTTTTTATTTACTTTTGGCTCAACTGCTGCGTTAACATTTCGTTAGAGGCAAGTTTATAATCCGCACTACTTTTTGCTAATTGCGCTAAAACCTATTTCTCCATATAACATTTATTGTTACTTACCCCTTGTTGGTTTGTGTCCGTAAATTCCACAAAAAGAAGCTGGAATTCGAATGCTGCCAGCAAGGTCATTTCCAATGCCAATAACAGCACCCGCTGAAGTTATAAGGGATCCTTCTCCTCCTACAAGTTCATGCAAAAATAACATTTAACAAGAATTTCAAAGCAGAAAGTATTTCCATCAATCACTAATCAACTAAGTTTGTAGTAAATCATCAGTTTAGTATCTCGTTTTGTAGTAATTAATTTTACATTTCACAGGAGTTAAACCAACATATTTTGATTTTATTTAAAATTTTGAGATCCAAAAATCTAGTTCTCGATCATGTCTTTCTTTGCAAAAGAAGAAAACTGTAGAACTGGTAACTGTACTTTTTAAATCACTATAAAGTGTCGCTCGAACGCAAAGTCAGCAGGAAATGGATCAAGCCGGCTGACAACTGAACCGTATTTACTGTGGCATTGTTACACTGTTGCAGGGATTATAGTTCGCTGTTTTTAAAATCAAAAGCAGTAGCTAAAATTTAAAGGGAGCCATTAGCAATATTTAGATAAATCATGATGCATTTTTGTCATTGCGATACTGTTGCGATACCTGTTGCGGCCCAACTTCGGGGAAAAAAAATTTGTAATTTGACGTTTTTTCACAAAAAACATTTCATTGAAAAATATTCAAAATAAAGAAAAATAAACTGATAGCATGATAATGTATAAACTTCATTAGTTTCAAAAACCGACACGTTTCAAGCACTCGGATATCGGTACCCATTCTCTAAGCCTACCAGGCTTGAATGTGAATCTTGAGGATGGGGGTTTATTTTCGAGTGCTCGAAACATGTCGACTTTTTCCCTCTTAATAATTTTTATAGCTTATTAAGTTTTTTCGTTATCAAGCACATCTTTCTACTTTGGTTTCTTGGGATTATTTTCCCCGGTTATCAAAAACAAGGAAAATATTACAAAAATGGTGTTAACTCTCTCAAAAAATAAGCCAATTTCAGTGAAATTTAAATATATTGTCAAATAAGAGTTGCTAAGTAAATCTGCAATATGTTAACTAACGACGCTGCAATGAAATGACGACATCTGCAATGATCATGAGNTGGGGGACTTTTGGATGGAACTAACCCGCATTTGCCTTACATGGAGAGGAAGACCACGAGAACCTCCCACAGTTAACCTGACGGCAAAGGAACTCTAACACATGATCCGTCTACCACTAAGGATATTTCACCTCAGCACTGTGGTTGGTGCAAGCTGGATGCGGAATTCGTATCGACTGGGATTCGAACCAGGTTCACCGCATTAGACTCCATATATTGATTGAATTTTACTTACTTTATCATTCCATCGAACATTTTCATGGTTGTTTGCCAAAACTCTAGTCAGCAACGGCAAATCTTCGGCATAACGGCACATTGGCCCTGTGCTGATGAACTGACCAAAACATTCAGTTTCTGGTGGTTCTTGAAATGCTAATTTATTCGAAACAATTCCTGTGTAGGTAAAAAAAAATTATATTATTATGACTGAATACTAATGTTTTGAAAATCATTCGACTTAAAGCGAAATGGAATTAAAAAAAAAGGCCAAAAAATAAATGCAATTTTAAGGAATATTTTACAGAAAAATAAGAATATTTTTTTAGAGGAAAAAATTAAATTCTTCCTTTTATTTTTTTTTGCACAATTGAGATATTCTAAAAAAACTGTCTTTTACAAAAGGATATTTTAAAAAATATTTATGTTTTAAAAAAAAAAACAGTGTTACAGTAATATGAAGAAAGGGTACTTTTTGACCCATCGGGTGAAAGGAAATAAATTTTTTTAAAAATATTTTTTTTAAATTTAATTTTAACTTAAAATAAAATGGTTGTCACTACTCAAAAAATTAAATAATGAAATTTACTTGCGCTTGTATTACTTGCCTAGAAGAAAATTTGTCGCGCAAAACAAAATCTCACAATGACGAAAAATATTCGTGATAGCTAAGTCTATGGGGAACGTAATTTAGTTAAGGTGAAATTTAGTGTATATACATTATCTATAAGGGAGTGGAATATCGCAAAGTATAATCTATCCAAATTATAATCTCACACAAAAATAAAGAAAAAAATGCTGTACAAAATATCTCATATATGAAATACTATAGTAGTACTAATTTTAATTTCAATTATATTTTTATACATGATTTCTCGCCTACGTAAGATTTTTTTCATGTGAGACGTTGCAACAGAAAAATTTTCTACTCCTGAGATGATTTCTACTGGAGAGTTATTTACGTAAAATTATAGTAATGTTAAAATTTTTGCTCGTGAAATTCTGTCTACCGAAAAGATTATGTTACGAGATTTTGTCACCTCGAGATTTTGCCGACTTTGTGCCCACAGAACTAGATCCAAGTCAAAATGAGATACACTCAATTCGAAATGAAGAAGACCGCTGATAAAAAAACCACCTGATTCATAACACCATAGTTAGTTGGTTAGTTACAAACAAGATAACGTTACAGCTACAAGGCAAGTATTAATTACATTTCTCATTAATTTACAAGAATTCACTTGTTATGAGATGATCGCCCTAAATCGATTCGTGGTATATAATCGATTACGAGATTCGATTACGTATCGTATAATCGATACGTATTCATATTTGACGCTTTAGGCTTACTCGAAAGGAAAGAACAGTTGCCATGTTTCAACAGCCAATCAAGATCGATACCCACAATGACGTCGCTTGCAGGTATCTAATTGCAATTATGCAAGATTCCATTCTGCGAGATTCAGTGTCCGTTACGTTTTTAGGGAGTTTTCCAATCTAAATAATCTTTGAAACCCAAAGTACACTGTTGTTATTATATTCCGGCTAGAAGTGAACAAATGGAGTAATGCTTAATATAGAATTACGTAACAACAGTTTCAAAAATTCGCTTACACGTTTAACCATTATATTGGCCATATTATGTCTTACCACATGAAACCATTAACTTTGAGCCATAACACGGTGCAAATTTTTAGCATCCTAATAAGGTGTTATATTAAATCAATCATGTTACCGTTCAAGCTGAACTATTGTATTCTGTACACCAGATAAAGTAGTACCATTATATGTTTTAACTTAGATTATAATTTCATCATATTAAGTTTAAAGATAATACAGACACTATTTTGGTCTAATACACTCCGAAATTTCCAATAGGAAATTATTAAAACATTGCAACTATTTGGAGTGTTATGTAAGAACTGTGCGAGTAGCGCATCATTTGCCATCAAGTTCATGCCTTTCGACATCTAATTTATATTCCTAGTGTTTTATATAGTTAATAGCATGAATTATGAAATAAATTAATTGTTGTTTGCTTGAACTAATTTTTAGACAGTTTTAACAGTAACAGTCCAAAAATTACACCAAACGCATACTAATAATTTTTGAACTAAAAAGAAGAATTTCGAAATGTTAACGCAACAGTTTTGACAAAATTTAATAATAATAAAAAAAGAAACGACAACGGAAGTCAGAATTTCTATGACTGTTATATGAGGACCGGAGAACATTCGTCGGATATCTAGTATGATCTTACATACGTAGTATGTCCCAACTTGTGTACAAATACAAGTAGAGTTTGCATTTTTCGTTGGGGCATACTATGAAAAATCATACTTGATAGCAGACGAATGTTCTCCACTTCTAAACCGTCGTTAAATTTTTGACGAATTTCATTAGTGCGTTTTTATTTAGTTTTGGCTCAACAGTTGCGTTTACATTGCGTTAGAGGTTAGTTCGTAATCTTTACTACTTTTTGCTTACTGCGCTAAAACCTATTTCTCCATTGTTACTTACCTCTTGTTGGTTTGTGTCCATAAATTCCACAAAAAGAAGCTGGAATTCGAATGCTGCCAGCAAGGTCATTTCCAATGCCAATAACAGCACCCGCTGAAGTTATAAGGGATCCTTCTCCTCCTACAAGTTCATGTAAAAATATTATTTAACAAGAATTTCAAGTAGAAAATATTTTTATCAATCACTAATCAACAACCAATCACAAGTTTGTAGTAAATCCTCAGTTTGGTATCTCGTTTTGTAGTAATTAATTTTACATTTCACAGGAGTTAAACCAACATATTTTGAGGAACTAATCTCGTAGTTTTATTTAAAATTTTGAGATCCAAAAATCTTGTTCTCGATCATGTGGTTCTTTGCAAAAGAAGAAAACTGTAGAACTAGTAACTGTACTTTTTAAATCACTATAAAGTGTCGCTCGAACGTAAAGTCAGCAAGAAATGGATGAAGCCAATTGACAATTGAACCGCTTTTACTGTGGCATTGTTACACTGTTGCAGGAATTACTGTTCGGTGTTTTTAAAACCAAAAGCAGTAGCTAAAATTGAAAGAGAGCCATTAGCAATATTTAGATAAATTATGATGCATTTTTGTCATTTCGATACTGTTGCAATACCTGTTGTTGTCCAACTTCGGGGAAAAAATTATGTGAAAAAAATTTGTAATTTGACATTTTTCCCCAAAAAACATTTCATTGAAAAATATTCATAATAAAAAAAATTAACTGACAGCATGATAATGTATAAACTTCATTAGTTTCAAAAACCGACATGTTTTTAGATGGTAAAGCCGACACGTTTCAAGCATTCGGATATCGGTACCCATTCTCTAAACCCACCAGGCTTGAATGAGAATCTTAAGAATGGGGGACTGTTTTCGAGTGTTCAAAACATATCGACTTTTTCCATCTTAATAATTTTTACAGTTTATTAAGTTTTTGCGTGGTCAAGCACATCTTTCGACTTTAGTTTATTGGGATTATTCACACTGGTTATTATAAATAAAGGAAAGACTACAAAAATAGCGACAACTCTCCCAAAAATTAGCCTATTTCAATGAAATTTGAATATATTGTCAAATAAGAGTTGCTAAGTAAATCTCCATTATGTTAACTAACGGTGCTGCAATGAAATGACATCTGCAATGATCATGAGTGGCATATTTTATATGAAGCCTGTAAATTTTGCTGCGTTTTTGAAATTAGAAATTTGAGATAACCAATTTAAAGCAATAGTCTTAAGGCATCATTTGTTCGAAGAAATGTGATGGAGATCTATTGGAAGACGAGAGGAAGAACAAAGTCAGATAGAAGTGGCCAGAAATGTGAGTCCATCTGTGGTTTATAGACTTAGGCAATAATTTCTTACCACAGGTTCACATAAAGAAGGTTCAGCCAAGAACTACCAAATTCTAATTTCTGCAACATAATAGCTGTCTTTTTACGTTGTTTTATACATTATTATGTGATCTATAACGTGTGCCAATTTCATTAAACTCTATGGGTAGCTTTTTGAGTTTCAGCCCTTTTCGTGATTTTTTTCCTTGATTTATGATAACGAGTGCGTTTCATGTCTAATAATTTGTTTCATGCAATTGCGAGCAAATTGGATGAAATTAAAAGTAATTTCATACCAGAACTGCCACCAACTGTTCTTGCATTGTCGTATGGATTCTTCGTCATACCATAAACATGATTGGCACTTTCCCACCACATGCAAGATTCTGGAATATTTGTGATTGTCAAGGGTATAGCGCCAGCTTTTCTGTACAAAGCAGCAGCGTCAGAGTCCTTTTCAGCTCTACGAGTCTTGAAGCATACCATCCCAAGAGTAATTAGAAGATCTAGTGGGAATAGAATTAAAAATATTAGTCTAAATGTTAGAGAATAAATAAAGAGGTATATAGTGTTTTGAATGGATGAAGGAAGTATTCAACACTTTGAATGATTGACGGTGGCATGTAATGTTTTGAATGGATAAAGAGGCGTGTGACACTTTGAGTAGATGAAGAAGGAACGTAATACTTTGAATGAATGAAGGAGGCAAGTGACACTTTAAGTGGTTGAAGAAAACATGTAATACTTTGAATGGATGAAGGAAGTATATAACACTTTTAATGGTTGAAGGAGCCGTGTAATGTTTTGAGTAAATGAAGGAGGCATGTAATGTTTTGAATGAATGAAGGAATCATGTAATGTTTTGAATGGATTAAGAGGCGTGTAACACTTTGAGTAGATGAAGAAGGCATGTAATACTTTGAATGAATGAAGGAGGCAAGTGACAATTTAAGTGGTTGAAGAAAACATGTAATACTTTGAATGGATGAAGGAAGTATATAACACTTTTAATGGTTGAAGGAGCCGTGTAATGTTTTGAGTGAATGAAGGAGGCGTGTAATGTTTTGAATGAATGAAGGGGGCGTGTAATAGTTTGTACGGATGAAGGTAGTATGTAACACTTTAAGTGGATAAGGGAAGCATGTAATACTCTGAATGGATGAAGGAAGTATGTAACACCTTAAAAAACGAACGATTTATTGTTAAAGAAATATATATTATTGAGTTGGTATATATTAAAAATGTTGAGTTCTTGTTATGAAAAATATTCATTTAATGCCGTATATACAATAGGACAGAGATCAGCAACTTTTCTGAAATTAAAAAGCAATGTTTTCTTCGATGTGTTAAATTATTTTTTAAAGGGCCAAAAATAAGTACATCTACTGGTAACATTAGAAACATAATAGTACTAGGGTTTTTTGTAGTTAGGCATGCACTTATAGTGAAACTGAAGTGTTTTGTTCAACGTAATAACAGAACATGTAATTTAATGTATTTAAAAAAATGTAAAACTTTTTTTTTAATCTACACATCCTTTTGTAGGAATCGACAACTATTTTCAATCAAAACAAATTTAAGCATAAAAACCTAATATCAATAAGATATGTAGTTTTGTTTAAAATGCAAATCAAATGAAAAAAATAATAAAAACTCAAATATTGATGAAATTTTTGGGATGAGCAGAGGCATAAAGTTGTTCCAATTTTAGTGAATATTCAGAAAATTCTAACTTCCTGCAACTTTCGAGGCTTTCGCCATGAGCGTATTTCTTTATTTGTTTTTATTTGTTTGTTTGGTGTTGTGCTTCTCCATGACAATGCTCGTCCACATACTGCTCGACGCACATTTGCTGTTTTGACGAAATTTGGCTTGGAGTTGTTTGATCATCCACCCTACAGCCCTGATCTTACTCCCAGCGATTTTCCCGTTTTATTGCACCTCAAGAAATTCCTGTCCTCCGGTGAGCGTTTTGGCAACAACGAAGAACTGAAGACGTCTGTCACACGCTGATTCCATTCACAGGCGGCAGAGTTCTACGACAGAGGGATACAAAAATTGATCCCACGATACGACAAGTGTCTCAATTCTGGTGGTGGCTATGTTAAAAAATAGCTGAAACATTACTGTACTTGTTGCCTAGAAATATGTTCCTGAAAGTATGAGTTATTTTTTTTAAAAAAAATAGGGAAACTTACTTTCTGGATGCGCCTCGTATCTTTTAAAGAATTTATTTTTAAAAAAATATAATTTTACTAAAAGAACGAAGTTATGATGACTATTGATGATGTATTATAAATACAATCCGAAGTTTTAGACTTCTTTTTTAAGGGTGTAAGAATTAGCCAAGTATTTCATGTTTCGACCTTTATCAAAAACAAAATTTTTTGTTGCTGCTTTTACAGTTTCTGCCATTAATAAAAAAAGATTCGTAATGTTATTGCTTCATTGAATAATGTTAAAAGAAGTACTAAACGTATTGTGACATGGATTTACTTCAAAGAACCTTGATAAACACAATATAACTAATTCATAATTCATTTTTTATAACGAACTTGAAAATTGGTTTTAGATTGTAGCAAACAATCACTTCCAAAATAGAAACAAGTTCAGATTTTTGACTATTGATAGTTATTTTTTTATGTATCAAACTGAAGAAACGATATTTAATACTTATTCATTTTTTTAGTATCATAATTTATTTATTCAATGACAGAATATGTATATATTAGGAATAATGCTAAAAAAAGGTACTAAATGTATTATGACATGCATTTACTTCAAAGAGCCTCTACATACACAATATATTTTATTCATAATTCTTTTTTAAAATACAAACTCGAAAATTGGTTTATATTGTAACAAACAATCGCTTACAAAATTAAAACCATTCCAAATTTTTGACTATTTATTGTTCTTTTTGTAATATGTTACACTGAAGAAAAGATATTCAATACTCATTCATTTTTTTTTAATATTAGGATTTATTTATTCAAGTGAAAAAAAAACAATAAAGAAATTAAACTTATTAAATGCAAAATACATGGGTACGCGTTTGTTTTAATAGTGAGATTTGAATTAGTTGTCGAATAATTCTATACGAAAGCCCTTTCTTTCAATTTTTTTAAAGCACTTTAACTTTTTCGAAACTAATAACATAAAGAAAATGATTGTCAATTTATAACGCTTTATTGACCACACAAGGACAGGCTAATCTTTTTTGCTTTAAGTAATAAAGTTAGTTACTCATAATCTAAACAACAAATGAGAACTATACACATTAACTATAAGTGTAAATAACATGTTTCAGTTAAACTTTAAAAAGCTCGTTAAAAAAAGAATAAGCTTTTTTTAAAAGCATATTTTACTTTTGACCTACATAAATCCTGATGCGTGAGGCTTTGAGAAAAGAGAAAGGTAATGAACACCAGCAAATTATCGGTCATTTTAATNTAAATGCGTTTAACGCTTCTTGTTTAAGACCAGTAAGTAATGTGTTGTTTTGTACGTTCATACAGACACAGAAAACATCAATTCCACTATGCGCAACATGTTGCTGTATTTCGAGATTAGAGGGTCATTTTAGAAGTGAGGCGCTAGACTCTTGTAAGATAACAAAAATTGAAAATGTATCACGGACATTAACGGGAAAATGGCCGTCCGCGCGGACGCTGGATTCGAGAAATTTGTTGTCCGCGGGAAATTTTTGACCGCCGAGGACGGGCGGACGGGCGGTTTTTCGAGCCCTGAAAGAAATTAAATTTATTAAATGCAAAATAAATGGTACGCGTTTGTTTTAATAGTGAGCTTTGAATTAGTTGTCGAATAATTCTATTCGAAAGCCCTTTCTTTCAATTTTTTTAAAACACTTTAACCTTATCGAAACTAATAACATAAAGAAAATGATTGTCAATTTATAACGCTTTATTGACCACACAAGGACAGGTTAATCTTTTTTGCTTTAAGTAATAAAGTTAGTTACTCATAATCTAAACAACAAATGAGAACTATACACATTAACTATAAGTGTAAATAACATGTTTCAGTTAAACTTTAAAAAGCTCGTTAAAAAAAGAATAAGCTTTTTTTAAAAGCATATTTTACTTTTGACCTACATAAATCCTGATGCGTGAGGCTTTGAGAAAAGAGAAAGGTAATGAACACCAGCAAATTATCGGTCATTTTAATTGCTTCATTGTATGAATGAATTACAGGCTTGTTGATTGAATTTCCTGAGGACAAGGTTAAAATTTCCTCTTGAAGGTTGGTTGATGTTGCAATTTTGATCAATCACCAAATTGAATTATATTACTCATTAGTTATCAATTACTTTATGATATAGTTGTTGCTTATTATATCTTTCTCAAAAGATGTTTGTATTTTTAAAAATGAAGACTTAGGGCTCTATTGTGATAGGCCAAACGTTTTTCAAAATAACATTTCTACATCAAATAGTATTATTTCTAGAGTTTAATTATTTCTAGTTCTTAAGTAATATTTCTATATAGGTACTTTAAGACAATGCTCCCCAAACTTTTTATGATCGGGGACCGGTCAAAGTTTGATAATCTTACCTTTTCTCGTAAGGGGAAAGACGTTGATTGTTTATATTTTAGATTCTTTTGATTTTATAATTTTAATTTATTGCATTTAAGCATGCCTTCAAAATAAAATAACAGTTACGTACGCTGGATAGGTGATATGCCTCAACTCCCGACTAACCTCTCTCGTCCATGGAAAGTCATATGAATCAGAGAGAAACACACTACAGTAAATAAAATAGAAATAAGTTAATGTTCCTTGGGCGGTCTGGTACCTTTTGATCCACGAACCAGCACCGGTCCGCTGCCCGTGGTTTGGAGATCGTTACTTAAAAGTATCTGAAATTTCCACTGGTTAAATAGTACGTGGTTTACATGGAGCCCATGGTTTACATGGAAATCGTGCTTTTTTTATTTTTTATTTATTTATTTTTTATTTTTTAAAAATTAAGAATGCTTTTTAAGAGGACGCCATACAGTAAGAGAAATACTTCGTGCCCAATTCAGTTTCACATAGTTTGAAAATTCAAAGTGCAGAAAAAAGGGAATTTAGATTAACCAAGAGTAAACCAAAAAGCTTCTAAAGCTAAAGAATATTATTTAAAATATAAAAATGCAAATATTGTTGATAAGATTGTGGTAGGATTAATATCCCATTGCAAGCTTTCCGCAAATTGTTCGCCTCTTGATATTTTGAGAAAATTTTTCAGCAATGGGATACCTGCAAGTGACGTAGGATGGGTATTTCGATCCTGATTGGTTGTTGAAACGTGGCATTTGCTTACGCGGCATTTGCATAAAAACTGTTCTTTCTATTTCGACTGAGCCAAGTCCGTCAAGTATCATTTCTGTTAAGTGACACATTCCATATTCTTTCACAAAGATTTTAATTTTTTCACTATATATATCTTATTTAGAGCAAAGACAAGCACGAAACCACGTAGAACATAGATAAACTAATTCTGCATCCAAGTTGTCAGGAACACAAAACAAAAAGATATCACGATTACAAGAAAATGCATAAACAAATAATAAATTTAAATTAAGTAAGAGACGCAGGCGAGAAACAATTATATTTTAACAAATTCGATGTACTGTACTGTGCTGTATTAAATTAATTTCACTCTGATTAATATTCTAACCTATATAAAGAAACATAGCTCGGCTTTAACACGCCATCTTGTTCATGAACGATCAGCTGGTGCCGAACACACATTTTTCAATACTTTAAATTTTAAATTAAAGATGTAAGTGAAAGAGAAATTGCCATGAGGAGTTGCTGCTCTGATAATTTCATGAAAATAACAGAAATGTTAAATAAATAACGGATTATTAATTGAATATGAAATTAATTAGCGATTTCGAAAAACATTAGTAGTTAAAAAAACATTCCTACTTCTCAATCTTTCTCATGTACCCTACCTCCTGTGAAAGTTTGTCGTAACATTGTTTCTGACAACAAGAAAAACATTTTCGAAAACAATTTTCCTTTCTGGTATATTCAATTTATTAAAATATAATACTTGATTTATACGAGAACTTTCGCTGTGCCAGTAGATTCTTAAAATATTTAAGTGCGTATGATATGTTATTAAGCATAAATGGAACAAATTTTTAATTAATTTTAATACTTAATTGAAATTTCAGTATTAATGTTCACATATTTATCTATTAAAATTTCGCGTGCCTGCTATGTCTATGAATTTGTTCGTTCGTATGTTTTTGTTTCAAATAATTTCCATCATTAGCTCTTTGAAATACGCTGAATAACTGAAAAAAATCATATGCTTTTCTTTTAAACTTAATATTAGCTTAATAAATATGGACAGATAAACAAAAGCCCTTTTTTCCGAGTGTCAAAATGGTGCTCAAATTTAACAAACCAATCACAATGAGTAGCTTTTTAATAAATTTACTGGCTTGGATATCTATTAAAATAATTTTGATTTACCTTTGACTCCAATGGCTTCTTTACATGAAAATGGTACTCCTAAAAGTGGGGTGTCTTTTGCTATGTCATCCACTGATTTCTTTGAAGTGGACAGAAATTCATCCACTGCTTGAGCTTCTTTTAGTGCTTCATCGTATCTTTCGTCCACAACTGCATTTATGAACGGATGAATTTGTTTTGATCGTTCGATGTAAACTTTCATAACTTCTTCACATGATAACTGAAAAAAAATCTATCCATTTTAATCTTTTTAACAACAATTGCTTATAGTAAATATTCAATAAAGAGTTAAATTGGTGAATGCCAAAATATAAATTGGAGAAGTTTGTTCAAACCTTTTATGACAATTGGTTACTGAGAGGATTTAAATCCAAATTACAAGTTAAAGTAGCAGTTAATTTTAACTGTATTCATGATGTAAATAATTTACAAAGCGGAATAAATTGACTGCAAAAAAATTTACAGACTGGAACTTAGAGTAGAAACTTAACTTAGAGTAGAAACTAATTTTTAATAAAATCCCTGAAATAAAGTTAGTTTACTGGAAGTAATATTGTTCAAAATGGTATGTAAGCTAATGTATATTCGGTATCGATCTTTAATAAATATTTTACTCTGCGAAATAAAATTCGTTAAATGTAAAAAGAATTAAGCCTAAATTGAATAAAACAGATTTGAAACGCATTTTATCCTGATTTGCTCCTCTTGGTCAGTGTGGTTTTTCTTGTTCTGTTTTTTTAAAAATCTTTTTTTCTCTCTCGGCTACTGTGGTTTTTCCTAGTTTTGTTTCTTACCCTTTTCTGTTCTTCGTTGGCACTTTTACGTTTTATATTTTAAATCACTTTTATTTCTTTTCATTCTCGCCTGGCAACTCTTGAAAATGGGTGTCTGTTTTCGAGCGATTGAAACATGTCGACAATTATTTCTAATTTGCAAATTTTTGAAGCGAATGAAGCTTTTAATCAAGTCAAAACTAAATATTAAAGATTCGAGCTTTTTATTCCGTTACAAAACAATTATATTTTCTCATAAAATAAGAGATTTTTTAAGTTGTGAGTTCGATAAACGAATTGTGAATAGTTTTTCATGAAATCTGTCCGTGATAATTATTCTAGAAACTAAAATACCTCAGTTTATATTAAAATTCAACTAATATAAGTAATCAACTAATAAATTATATCGGAGATTAAACTTTATGACAACTAATATTTGTATATATTCTCTAATGGTAAAAAGAAATTGTTCGAAATGAAATTATACAAATTACAATCGATGGAATTAATCTGTTTGAACTAAAGAATTGGGTACTTGCAACTGGAGAAGAAGACTGATACATGGTCACCTGACCTATGACCTCAGCGCCAGCTGATCGTTTACAAACAAAATGGCGTGTTAAAGTCAAATGGCGTGCTACGTTTCTCCTCAAAATTTAGAATGTTAGTTAATGTGAAGTTAATCAAATGCATCGCACATCTTATTTATTGAAATATAATTCTTTCTCGTCTGCGACTTTTACTTAACTTAGATTTATCATTTGTTATGCATTTTATAGTAAAGGTGATATATTTTTGTTTTGTGTACCTGGGAACCTCGATGCATAATAAGTTTGTTTTTGTTCTACGTGGTTTCATGCCTGTTTTGTGTTAAGTAAATTGAAATATAGTAGACGGAGCATAAGTATTTATTAAACATAAAGCATGACTGAGGAAGAATAATGTATTTCTCAGTTGTTTTAAAATGGAATAGTTAGTGTATGTTTATGCGAACCTACTATTCCTGGTTTTGCAAATATAGAATGTGTCGCTTAAGAGAATTGACACACGACAGTCTTGGCTTACTCGAAATGGAATGGAACGAACAGTTGATAACGTAAACAAATGCAGCATTTTAGCAACCAATCAGGATAGAGATATCCACAATACGACGCTTGCAGGTATCTCATTCAAAATTAAAGCTCTTACACAGCAAAAAATTTTACCTGTTTTCGACGAATTTTTTCTGCTAGTTTTGTGGCCGGCATAAGAAGAATTCTATTGTCAATTGGAGGTAGGACTTTTGTTTTACCCATGAAGATTTGGTAAATAAAATCCAAGACATAATCTGATATAGGCCATGTCAGAGTCAGTATGACTCTCACGAAGTCTGACCAAAACTGAACTATCTAGAATTAGAAAAAAGAAGAAAATATATGTTTTAGAAGCATTTAAAAACATTTTATCATCTTAAGACATGTAGGCAGTAGCACATAAATATGTAAGATACAATATTCGGAACTTCAGTCATAAGAATTTTTATTCACTTATTTCCAGAGAGAAAACTAATTTTTTTACAAGAATGGATAAATAATCAATATTTAAAGCAAAAAAATAAAATGAAAAAACATTTATGAAAAAGGCATTTAAAATTTCCACGGCTTTCGTACCAATTGGAACTATTTTAAGTTTATAAACAAAAATGACCCCCCAAAAAGATTTCTCAAAATTGAGCAAACATTTTTCGAAATAGATCTGAAACTAATGTAATTGAATTTAAAAACACCATATTCTAATTATTGAGAATAGTAACTCGCTCAAATATGATGTTGTAATGTATATGCTGTTTAAATTTTGAGCATAATACTGCTCTCAATAATGAGAGCATGGAGTTTTCAAAATCGATTATATTTGCCTTGGAGCTATTTTTTTTTGAGAAACCTTTTGTTTCAGTGCACACAGTTAGATTTTTTACTCCAAAACTGCGGTAAAAAATCGGTAACAAACTTTTTATCCAAATGAGCAAACAGTTTATAGTTAGGAACGTTTATTCACCTTCTTTGAAACCAATTACAATAGGTATGGTTAAAAAAACCTTGAATTCAAAATTATACGGTTTTGCAATTATTTACAACTAGCATGGTTTTGAAACGGTAGAAATGAAGTTTAATTGGATATTGGAGTTCTGTTATGTTAGGCAATGATTAATGGAGTTAGGAGGAGTTAGTGGTTAAGTTATGTTTTGTCCTGTTGAAAAGAAAAATTTATAAGACTGACCACTCTTTCAAAAAAAGAGTTGATTTATTTTTATTTATTTTAATTATCACTAAATGCGATTTCAAAGTTTTATTTTTAATTAGACGGAGCTACATGAGAGCCGTCTGTTATTGTGGAAGTTACAAAATCTTCTGCCGGTTGGGGCGCTGACGCGCATGAGCGCCAACACCTGTGAACCATGGAATGCTGTCTAATTAGTTCGCCTGGTGGTGCCATCTATTGTGAGAGATAAGAAATACAAGACATTTTTGTGTTAAGCAGTTCTGGTGTGCTGTCACCTATGCATGAATGAAAGTTTCGTTTTTCAATAGTCTAGAGCAGGGATGGCGAACCAATGGCACGCGTGCCATTTATGGCACGCCACACAATATTTTGGGCACGCCACCGATCACAATTGTTATCGCACTCTGAATTGTTATTACACAAATGTCACACACTATGAGGCATATGTAACAATTAAATTAAAATTCACAAAAAACAAACAAAATAATAAGCAATTATTAATAAAAAAATAAACAATTAATGCTAAAAGAACAATTAATAACCATAAAAAACAAGCTAACAATAAATAACTAGCAAAAAATCAACAGTCCTGCTTAAACTAATATTTTACAACCTAATATAAGTTATTTGTCATTTAATCTGCAATAATTGAAGTCCTACAGATGCTACTTTAAGTTGAATTACGCGTATAACTGAGACATTGCAAAATGCATTTTCTTTTCAATGTAAATAAAGAGTTTTGAGTTTATAGTATTAAGTATTATTATTTTCCCAATAATCATGAAGTCAAAATTATTTGACGGCACGTCTGTGATTTTATTAAACAATTTTTTAGAAAAAATGGCACGTTGGTGTATAAAGGTTCGCCACCCCTGGTCTAGAGTATCCAGTTGACGAGGGCAGGACACTGTAAAGTCCTTTGATGTTGAAGGAATGGAGGAAATATTGTGGTATTAAATCTGGTATTCGAACCCCCGTTCAACCGGTCTTAAGATTGACAGATTAGTCCTCTCGGCTGAAGTATGCACTGAACTGCAAGGAATTAAGTGACTTCACAAGGTATTCACTTTCTTATTACTCTACGTCAGTGTTTCCCAAAGTGTGGTACGCGTACCCCCATGGGAACGGGAACAGTTTAGCTGGGGTACGCGTTCTTATGCGAAATATCTTACAACAAACGAAAATTTCAGAAAATTTTATTTGAAAACAAAGCTAGCCATGAAAATTTACCATTACGCATTTTTCTATTGGCTATTTTTTGCAGAGTTAACAGTTAATAATTAGTGGGGTCAACAGCCAGTTGAGATTTTTAACTTTTGTGCAATTTCTTATAGTAAAAAACACATTCATTTTTTAATTAGTGGTACACAGCGTTACGAAAAATTTAGAAAAGGTACAGAAAAGTCATAAGTTTGGGAAACACTGCTCTACGTTTATTAGATATTTGCATATTAATTCTTAATCCTTATCACATGGGTTAGCCTCCAGTTTTCAATAGTCAATAAACGACTTTTCTCACAGTTACCATCTTTTTATAGTTATTTGTCTTTTTCGGTTGAATATCGTAAAATAACAATTAAATTAATTGTTTTTTAACTATTTTTTTCTTAGAAATTTCTAACTGTGTAGAGTGACTTGCATGATATATTTTACTATAAATTTAACAGCAAATAATTTTTGAACTCGAACGTCAATTTTTTTTATTTCATCGTAATCCCTGTACACTTTTCTACACGCCATCGTAATTTCAGAGTTTTAAGGATTGCAGTTTTTGCGCAGCGAAGCAAAATGAAAAGTTAAGTTGAACCCTCTAAACAGCGGTTCATAAGATTTCCTATAGAGAAGTTTTCTTGCATATATTTTTATTTATTTATTACCTCACGAGATATTTGGTAGAAACTTGGACAAGACAGTACACATAGAATTTTTTTTTTTTTAATGTTATGTCCATTTTTATTTAGTATCTAAACATATTGTTTATTTTGCAAATATTTTTTAAAATGGTATTTTTTCAATTAAAGGCTATGGAACTACACTATTTGGAAGAAAGTGACGGGACACGACACTATAACGACATAAACCCATATTTATCAAAATTAATAGGAGGTAGGGCCTCCTTTGGCTGCGATCACAGCTGCAACCCTTCTGGGCATGCTTTCCACTAAATTAGCCATAGTGGCAAGAGGAATTTCCTTCCAAATGTTTAACAGGAAGTTCCATAGTTCATGCTTGCTTTTGGGGAGTGGGGTGCAGGCCCTCAACCGACGGTCCAATTCGTCCCAGAGATGTTCAATTGGGTTAAGATCAGGGCTCTGCGCCGGCCACTCCATGCGTTTAACGTTGTTGTTCACATACCAATCAAGAGTCCTCCTTGCAACTTGGGATCTTGCGTTGTCGTCTTGATACAAGCAATCATCCATACCGTACATTGCCCGCATGGTAGGAAGGACATGGTTGTCGAGAATATCACAGTATCCATCGGCATTCATCATACCATCAACCTTCACCAGTGGGCCAGCGCCATACCAGGAGAAACAGGCCCATACCATCAATCCTCCTCCACCAAACTTTACAGTTGTCGCGTCACTTTCTTCCAGATAGTGTAGTTTTAACACGGGATTTCAAAAACTATTCTTCTTGTCAATGTTAAATGGATATCCTAAAAATTGTTGGGATTAAGCGTGCTTAATCCATTGTTATTACTCATGGCTGGATTTTTTATTACAGTATTAGTTTCTTATCGATTTTAATTTTTGTTCTTGTTTGTAGTTTCATTTGATTAATTTTATTGCATTTTTTTGTCTTTCTAGGCACATAAAGTAAATCAAAGACATTTTATTGCTTTTATTTTAGTAGTTTGTTAATTGTTAATAACGAGCAGCGATAAACAGTCATTTTGTCGGACTAGGGTTCGATCCCCAGTGAAGGCTTGATGCCCACCCTGCTACAAATAAAATAGTTGCAGATAGTCTAAAAAGTAAATGTGGCTTGTACGCAATGCTGACAATGTTACTTCAATCATGTTGTTGGAGGGGAACTTTATCTTTCATGAGCACCTGGCCCACAATGGTCTGTTGCTGAAATACTTTACTTTATCTCAAAATATTATAATTGAAGTTTATACAAGAAGAAAAAAAATAGAGTCAAAATTACTAGAAAATGGCAATATTTACCGCATTTCTTGCAGTAGGAGAACATCAAAATATACCGGCACCCAGGAAGAATCATTCGTAAAACTAATTTTATCGTAAAATCCCTTTTCACCGTTAAAATTGTATTCCGAATATTTTACAGTAATAATTATTTACTTATAGTGATTCAGTGATTTTACAATAAATAGCATTTCCTCAACAGCCCGTTGTGGGCCAATGCTATTTGTTTCTTGCTATATGGGAACACCAGAATGCTCGGTAAATTTTAATGGGGCGTTTTGGTAATTAATTTGGTAAAAATATGGTCTATACAAAGCGATAAAATTATCAAATGCGATTATTTGATCATGATATCGTAGTGCAGGGCATAAAAATAATTTATTTGGTTAGATTTTATATTCAATTTGGTACATTTTACTAAATTTGTGGTTATAAGAACTATAATTTTAAAAACCAGAATTTCTGGAAAACCATTACCATATGAACGGAAAAATTACCAAATGAGTTTTTTAAATACCTCATATTTTGCTATTACTAAGCAGAAATAGGTTTTTTATATCATAAATGTCACTACCATTTATTACGGTAATTTGACCAAAATTTGTTTCTTCGTGTGCAACAATTGTTAGAGCAAGAAAATTTAGGCTTCTTTCAAGACTATTTTCCCAGAGTAGCAATGAAAAAGAATTTTTTAAAAAAGAAAATGCATGTTTATTGGCAAATTTTACTAAAAAAACAAGTTTTCCATAAAATATTCAATTATCAAGTGTTTCTTTAAGTAAACTCAAAGCAAAAATTAAAGCAAATCTTCACTTCACTTAAATTTTAACTATTTGATACTTCTTTTCCTCTGATTTGCACCAGAAATTTCAAGATAAATTATAAATTTTGTCAATATTTAGTTTTTTATAAGTTCCCAGAAAAAAAATTCAACTATTACTTTATCCACTTTAAAAATTATTATTAATATTTCTTTA